TTTGATAAGTAACCCTCATCTCGTTTCAGGTCACTTGCACTTCCTGGTGTGTCATCTACACTTTAAAAGGAGAATAAACACTTGTGATTTTGAAAATTAACTTTATAAACGCTGGCAGTGCCCCCCATAATGTTTATTCTGGTCAGCATGTGTTTGTGTGGATGGAGCCACTGGTGGAGCTGGCAGAGTTTAGAGCTTAAGTCCCTGTGTCTTTATGAAGCAGCAGCATGTTGTCATTAATGTGGATGAGAGCTCTTTTTCTCTGGTTCTGTCTGACTGTTGTAACCTGCATCCTGTTGGCTTCAGGTCACATCTTTTACTCTTTATTCAGGTTGGAGTACTGCAGTTTGTCAGAGAGCAGCTGTTTTTCTGTGGTGTCAGCTCTGAAGTCCAACCCCTCCCAGCTGACAGAACTGGACCTGAGCTGGAACCCCATCCCTGAGTGTGTGATGAAGGAGCTGAGCAGCTTTCTGCAGAGTCCACTCTGTGGACTGAAGACTCTGAGGTCAGACTCCAGGTTTTAGTGGTTAGTTCAGATCAGAGGATGAGCTCAAAGCTGTGCTGCTCTTCATGGTAAAGTCTTCAGCTCACAGATTTAGTTCTTTATTCAGATTGGAGCTCTGCTGGTTGTCAGAGACCAGCTGAATGTAATTGGACCCACAGTCACATCTGTGTGCAACATCTGTCTTTACTGGCTTTACTCTGAATGTGATTGGACCCAGATTGTCCTTTGCTCTCCTCAGACTCCGGTTGTGCAACTTGTTTGGGACCAGCTGCTGGTCTCTGGTCTCAGCCCTGAAGTCAAACCCCTCCCACCTAGTGGAACTGGACCTGGATGGAAACGACCTGGAAAAAACAGCTGAGGAGAGTCTGTCTGCTCTGGTGGACAGCCCTGAGTATGGACTGGAGACTGTGAGGTCAGCAGAGGGGGAGCTGGGCTGTCTTTTCCTGCCTCTGGCTGCAGGTTTAACATCCTCTGTGTTCTGCAGGCCTGCAGGGAGCAGAAATATTAATCATGCAGAGATAAAAAGACCTCTTTGGTTATTTTGTGTGTGCATAAACAGCCTCGTGGCAACAGGGTTTTTTACTTCCAGAGTCCCCAGAGCTTAAAGCCTGAGCAGTTCCACTGTTCTAGATCATAGTTGTTTATCTTATTCAGATCTTGAGTGAATGCTGGGATGGGGGAAGAAAGAAGCTGTATGCAGACCAACCACAAAGGTTTTTAACCTAAAACTAAGTCCAAAACTCAAATTAACCTGAGAAAAAAAGGCAGATGCAGTACCAATCTAAGCCTCCAGGGGACAAAATGACTTTTCGGCCATCTATTTTATACCAATAATTCTGATAATTGATCACTTTCACAGCTACAGGAAACTGGTTTGACCTTCTAATGTGTCACTGGGAAACTACATTGGAACACTAGACTATTTGTCTGTTATATTGTTAATGAACATATAAAAACAGACTGCAGATTTAAGTTTGCATTAAGGTGTTTTGCCTTTGATGATAGGAATTATCACTCAAATATTCAAAGAAATGAGGAGAGAAATGACCCACTCTGTCTGTAATTGCTCTCGGCGCCCCCTGGTGCTCATGCTCAGATCTAATGGATGACTGAGATAGCTTTTTTATTACACAAAGAGACTTAAATGTTTTATTTTGGGTTGTTTCCTGTCAGAATATTAAACAGAATGTTTTTTTTTACTCTTCTTCACTGGCTACTTAACTTTGATGTGTCTCTTAAAATAAACTGGTTATTCCTGAAGGAATTATAGGACAGTGACTGACTGCAGCCTCTCTCTATCTCTCTCTCTCTCTTTTTCTCTCTCTCTCTCTCTCTCTCTCTCTCTCTCTCTCTCTCTCTACTCTCTGTTTGCTTGTGTTTGCTCCACAGGTTTGGTGACTGGACGAAGAAATCCTCCAGAGACAAAAGCTGTGAGTGCCTGTCCACAGCCAGCGTTAACGGGGGGAGTCTGTGCCGCTCGGGGTCATTAGATGGCACGCTGTGGAGGCTTTATGGGGAAAAAATCCAACCTGTTGGAAGGAGGATGGGTGGGGACTGGACTCTGATTGTGGAGGGCAGAGGAAAGGATCACAAACAGGATATAACTCTAATTGGGCAGTTTGAAGAGGGAAAAAGCTGTCTTAGCTTCAGCTTTGATGTAACTGCTGAAGTTCAGGTCTG